TTGATTTTTAATGTGAAAGGATAATAAAAGAACCATTCTTTTGACATGACTGTAACTTTTCATTCCTACACCTTTTCCTCCCTGACCTTACTACATCCTCATAATTCTCCTCCTGCCACAATCTTTTCTTAAAGCCTGGTCTTGTAATGTTGAGGGGGATGTAAATACGTTCTTCTTCTGCCTCCCAGGGAAGGGATGAAAAATGAAGAAAGTCCTGAAGTACAGTTTCCCTCCTGGAGGGAAAACAAGTTTGCAGTTTTAATGTGCACTTCCCGACACCTTACCTGATAAACTTACTGTTTTTGGGACTCCAGGGACTGAACTTCAAGACATACAGAAAGTGATTGAGAGTCTCCAGAATCCACTGGATCCCAGTGAAGTAGCCCAGCTGCTAGCCATTCACAGAGAAGTGATCTTTCTACAGTTTGATGCAGCAATCAGGCATCAACTACGGTAGGAATTACAGCCTGTTGGGCATGGGACTGGCACCTTTTTTATAAAGAGGCTTTTTTTTTTTTGTTCACAAAGGAAAAAAATGTAGGAAAGATGAATTTAAATTTTGTCTCTGGTTTCTGGTCCCAGATCATGAATTGTGCCCTCTAAGTGTAGAGATTTTCCTTTCACCAAAAATGCCATTTTCCTTTATCTAAAAGTGTTGAGAGTCCTTACATGCTTCATTGAGTGGTGTCAACACACCATGTCTGAGTACAGCTGTCCTTTTATTTAAGCATTATATCACCTTTATGTTGTGATTCATAGTTTACTAAATCAGGGAGGTTGGTAGCTGCTACAGAGGTAGATTTATGAGTTCATCTTTTTGTTTTGCTGCAGGATCTACAACCAGTTTTATATTTTCCTCTAATAAATAATGCTTAGTAAGCAGGTACAAGACTTATACCAAGATCTAGGTTTACCCTCCTGTAAAATGTTGTTATTTACCCTATCACAGAAACCCAACTAAGATCTATTTTTCAGGTCTTTCTAAAACGTAACTGTCTTCCTTTTTTTCCCGCACTCTCCTCCCATGTGTTGTCTGTCAGTAATGGTCACAGAGTGGTTTGAATGTACTCAACGGAATAACCTTGGCAGAACAAAAACAAGAGCAGAACACGTGAAAGTAAATTTTAAATCTCCTCCCCTCTGTAGATGCCACATGGTGGCAAGATGCAAGACTAGAATGGTAGGTATAGCCTCTGTGGGGAAGGCAGGCAGACCATGGAGTCCACCAGAAGAGAAACAACTCCTGGACTTGCTTTTGAGTAACACACAGGCTGAGTTCAAAATGCTGCAGTTAAAGAGCTGTTCTCTAAGAGCAGCCGTGATGTGCTTGCATAAACCATCCTTGAAGGAACAGTGAAAGCCAAATAAATATCACCGTAGCTGAGCTCAGCTTCAAAATGGGAAACTACATAAAAATGAGAATACTTGCTGAAAAAAACCTGGAAGGATTAGCTAGGGGAGTTAAATCCTTGCAGATGGCATGGAGACTCTTTGGGGACATACTGGAAGCACTCAAGAAATGCATACCACATGTGAAGAAAGACTTATGAAAGGGTAAGAGGATGCTGGCATGGCTGAACGGCAGGATTAAACAGATTATTAAAGCAAGAAGGCATCCTTCAAAAAGCTGAACTTTCATTCAAATTAAGAAAATAGAAAGGACTATAAAGTGTGATGGTATAAATATAAAAGGATTCAAGACAGCCCAGCAAAGTTTTTGAGGAGCAATTCTTCTGAAGGCATCAAGACTAATAATAAATCTTGTTTCAAATATACTAGGAGTGGGAAATCTGACAGAAAATCTGAAGGGCCAGTAGGTGATCAGGGATGTTCATTGAAGATAGTCAATAGCACACATTTTGGAAAGTGATTTGTTTCTGCATGCCTTGTGGAAGAGTTTGAGGAGGTTCTCATACCGAAACCTTTATGGGAGATGCATCAGAGGAGCTGCTTCAAGTGGAAGTGTTGCCAAGGAAAGTTATGGGACAAGCAGACAGAAATGAAGATGAACAAGTTGCCAAGATCAGACAACATTCAAGAATTCTGAAAGAACTCAGGGATTATTTGTTTTAAAAGAAGCCAAATTACTAGCTATGGTGTGTAGCTTCTTGCTTAATACTGCCTTGATACTCAAGGGCTGGAAGTGGCTGATATGTTGACAGTTTTAAAAAGGACTGCAAGGGTGGTCTGGCTTACTGTAGGTCGATAAACCTGATATCTATCATGTTCAAATTAGCAGAAACTAATGAATATGGTCTATTTGGGAAGAGTCAGTGCTGCTTTTGGAAAGTACAGTCATGCCTTACAAACATATTGGGGTTCTCTGAAGGTGTTAACAAACGTGGATAAAGGGTTGACACAGTTTGCCTTGATTCCCTGAAAGTTTTAATAGCCTCAATAGAGGCTCTTAAAGAGTCTAAACAACCACTGGATATGTGAGAAGATGATCACATTTGGAAGGAGAAGGCTGTAAATGGGCAACATTTGTAGTGGATAAGGGGGATTACCAGTGGCTTCCCATAGGAGTTTGAACTTTCTCCTGTGCTGTTCAGGCACTCGTGGACGACACTGAGAAAGGACTGAAGCTGAGGAGGTTCTGTGTGTACATGATACCCACATGGTACCCAGGGTACCAAGGGCAAGGGCTGGCTGGAGAAGGACCTTACTAAACAGAGTGACTGCAAAATAGAACGGCAGATGGAGTTCAGTGTGTCGGTAAAATGATGCACCTGGGGAAAAATACAATCTCCATGTATAAAATGGCAGCCTGACGTGGCCATTACCATGTAGTAATGAAATCTCAGAGTTATGACAGGTAATTCTGTCAAAATTTCAGCTCAGTAGCGATCAGAAAAAAAAAAGAAAAAAAAAAAAGAAAAAAAAAAAAGAAAAAAAAAAGAAAAAAAAAAAGAAGGAAATAGCAAATTAATTCCTTCTAGTCCTTCTAGGAGACCAAAAATAAGGACACCACTACACCACTATATTGATCTGTGTTGATGAGCCTGTGAAGTTCTGGTCCCTGTCTGAGGGAGGACAGAGAACTTGGAAAGGTTCCCGAAGGAACCACATGGATGATGAAAGGTTTCTGGGTGGAACAAGTAGTACAGCTGAGGGACAGCTCTGTAAAACCATCAAATGCAGGGGACAAACAAGGAGTGTCTGCTCACAGTCTTCTCCAGTGTAAGGTGCATCCCAGGTGAACAGCAGGTATCTGTCTCTGAACAACAGAAAAAAGAGGTGGTTCTTGCACATGGCTTGTAATTAGGCTGTGGGATTTCTTGCTGTGGGAAGTGGCAGGTGGTGAAAGTTCATAGGACTCGGAAGGAAACTGCACAGGTCATGGAAGACAAATCTATCAAGGGCTATTAAACATTGAGCAATCATCTCTGGCTGAGGAAATGCCCCAGTGACAAATTCTTGGAGGACATGAAAATATCTCTGGGAAGTATCAGCATATGCTTATTCTGGAGATTTTTGTGATCTTCTCATAAATCTACTTTTGGTCATTGTGGGAGACAGGACTCTGAGCTGGATGGACCTTTGCTCTGACCCTTTATGACCGCTCTTGTGTTATCCAGTAGAGCTGTGACTGTACATATTTGAGACTAAAGATGTTTCTGGAGACTTGCAAGAAAATAAAAGTACCTTGTACTTTTATTTCTATGTTTTTCCTGACTAAAATACTGTAGGGCTGTTGGTGAAGAAGCATTTTCCTCAGATAAGGAGTTGTGTGTTAACAGGAAGTAAGAAGAAAGGCAGTATATCAAATGCTTCATCTTTCTTGTTCCTTATTGCCAGTGCAATTAGTTTACATTTTCTCCACACCAGAGCTTACAGCGTGACACTAAATCACGTTTAATCTCTTTTAAATTTCTCTGCCAGGTTTGATCTCAGAAGCTGTTTTATGTCCCTGTAATTCCTTTGTTAGTCCTGAAACTGATACAAACTCCTTGTCATTTTTAAAAGCACTTGTGTGTGTTTGACAAAACAGAAAGAACAAGATCCTTGTCTTAGCGTTGCCTTTCAAAGGAGGATGTGCAGCTACAGGAGGAGTTGCAGTCTAGATTGTTTCTTGTATTGCAAGAACTGGTCCAGTAGGGGCTCTTTGTTTTAAAAGCATGGGAATGAAGTCCACGAGAAGTGAGGGTGACAAAGAGGCTGCAACGAAATGACAAAGTCATTTGCTTGATTGGGTCATATATTTACATGATGCATAGAGTGTAGTAAAAGGTAGCTTTATGTGTGCGATTGCACAGCACGGTGCAATCCAAGCATGAGGAGCTGGCTGGGTCCCTGAGGTGCTATCCAGCTGTGCTGGGGCAGGACTCTGCCGGTTTAGCAGCTCCTGCTGCTCAGCTGGGCTCTGGTGTGGCTGCATGGCCCAGCATTTGCTGTGTGAGGCCAGGTGCACTTGCTAGGTGAGACCAGGTCTCACGAAAATCAGTGGGAAGCGTTGCTGTTAAACCTAGCTCTGGACTCCCGGTGCCCTGTAACCTAGGTTCCAAAGCTTCACAAGCACTTCTGAAAACTCTGGAAAGCTTTAGTGGCTCTCCCACTTTGTATAAGAAATTATCCTAATATCAGGAGTAGGAGGCAGTAGAACTCCTGAATAATTATCCAATCTATTAGCTACCTGAACATCCCTCTCTGTTAGCCTGGACATATGTTTTGCTGTAAATGTCCCTGGTCAGACGCAGGGGACACACATGCTTTCACACATGCATTTACATTGTTAACATTTGTGTCTCTTTGTTTTAATCATCATATCTGCTGCTATTCATATCTGTCACTACCATGTGGGGTCACAGTGAGGTGTAGGAAATTTTTTTGTAGACAACCATTTGGAGAATTTTGAAGTCATCTTACTTCTTTTTTAATGCAAACATTTTGTTTCCTTCACAGAGAGACATTTTTGTCCTCGGGGAATGTTTCAGCCTACTAGAGTGTTAGAGGCAGGATATACCACGCGCTGCCTCCATTGAGTAACTCTGTGATTCAGAGTGCCTTTGCTTCACAGCTAAGGCTCCCACAGCTTCTGGATCCTCAAAGCTGCAGGGTGAGTAAAGTGTACCCTCAGAGGCACTCCTGCTCTGTTTCACTGAGCTCCTTGGAGAACAGTCCTCTGCACTTCTTGCTGGTGTTCTTACTCCTTCCCTACCATGGCACAAAGAACTTAACCACTAATAGCTGATTAAAAAAATACCCGTGATCACAGCTTATTAACTTGATTCACCAGTAGGAGTTCTGCAAAACACTCTCTACAGAAGTGAATAATAAAAATTTGAGATGGAATGTAATCCCACTGATGCCACCAAAATGGAATTATTCTGCATGATAGATGTTGGTGATCCTACTAGATTTCAGTTTGGGGTAATTACCCTTCTGAGCTTTCTCATCACCTGGCAGCAGTTTTGATTGGCCAACATGTCTGTTATGATTGTGTGCAAGATATTTAGGTCTAGTGGTTTTCTCAGCTATAGCATCATGCAGTGTTACATAATGCCAAATTACATACTTGTCTGCTCAAAAGGCACCTTGAATGACACCGGCAAAAAGAAAAAAAGGTGTCATCTTAGAGAAAGTAAAGGTAAGTCTTGCTGGTGATATTAGCATGTTTCAAGGTAATAGGTAGTTTAAAATAACCATTCTAACGTTGTGTTTCCCCATTTTAATGCCATTCTGCTAATTATCCAATATCAGATACTATCGTTTCACCTTTAATAATGCCTTTCCCAAACAACGAGCTATAGGAACACAACTTTCTGCCATCCCTGCCTTGGTTTAGGTGACAGGGACACATAAGACCTCCTTAGCACAACTGTGAAACAGAATTTGCACTGGCATGCAAAATCGTGATGTCTTTGATGAATAAGATATCCTGCTGCCTCAGATAGGACCAGCAGTAGATGGTTGACAGTAGGTAGGTAAGGACATTGGAGCTAATCTGTGGAGGCAGAAGTAGCACAGCATCTTGGTAGGAAATGTATTCTGGAATTAATTTTATTGTTTCTTTCCCAAGGAGTGATAATAAATGCTTCTCTCTTTTCTAATATGTGGTGTACTTTCAAAGCCAGAGCAGAGTGTATCACATACCAAATAGCAGTTTGGCCTGTTAGTTGCCTTTTCCTGATCAGATTAGATGGGACCCTCATAACTAATTGAATGTTGTTCTTATTTATGAACAGTCATCGCTATTCTTTTAGACACTCATGCATTTCCCTTGGAGGACATTCCTAATGGATGGAAGATTGTTTCCAGTCACTATCAACAACACAATTAACATAAATTACAACATGCAGGTACGATGAGACAGCAGCCTTGTGCTTATGTCCAAAGACATAAAGACAAGATGAATCTATGATGCAGGAGGAAAACAAACTAAATACTATCTCATTTCCTGTCTGTTTTTTAAAGAGCAAAACTGAACAAAAAACATCTCCCCCTTTTCTGTCCAAAAGCTCATTTTACCATTTACTTCGTATTTGATCTTTCTTCAAGCAGAGCAGAGCATTTCTATTGACAATAAGCTTATACTTACCATTTTCCTAGTGTGCTAGAACTAGAGAATCAAATAATTTTTATGCACAGGCACATGTGTTTTAGGACCATGGTGCTAAAAGCTTGAAATCCATTTGTGTTTCTGACACAAAAACCCCTGTGCTGTCAGTTATCTGAGATTTGCTATTACTGGTAAAGCTCTGCACAGCAGACCTTCAGAGATTCTCCCTTCCTCCCCAGCTGTGCTTCTGCAGCCTAAGTGATGCAGACCGAAGAGTTGCTCATGGGGAGCTGGTGGCAATGCAATTTCTAATGGAGGATATACTGCAGAACAGCAATGGCTGTGCTGTGGAAGGTCACGCTGACTGTCAAGCCTTGTCAGCTAAGAGCAAGCAGGTACCTCTCACAACTGAGTTTGTTTAGGACTGTAGAGCTTCTGTGTAGGAGTCCTGTTAGTTTTTGCAATCAAATCTCTGTGAACATAAGCGACCTAGACCTGAGATATGCCGTAATATCCTCACCTACTCCTGGCCATCTGGTAAGAAGCAAAGAGAACAAAGTTGTCTCCTATAAATCCTGAGTGCTCTTGAGAGAAGCCCTAGTGATAGATGTCCCTTGAGGGCCCGTTGGTGTAGCCAGACTTCTGCAGAAAATGGAGACTGTCCTGACTTCTCCCCACACCCCACTGAAGGTCCAGCTCTTTCTTTATCAAGAGCTACTCATTGCAAAGGGGAAAGGAACAGCCTGGCCACTATCTAAAACCAAATGAAGTAAAGGAGAGGCAATGTACTTTCCATCTGTACTTCCCCCAGTACTTGCATTGTGGATGTGTATGTAAGGAATGGTTGCTGGGGGCACCTAAAGCCTGCCAGAAACTACACAAAGATTTGGTTCAAGGAATGGGGAAAGATTCAAGTTGTTCGTGATGGAAAACAGATACACTGATCCATTTGTAAGGTAAAATGAAGGGAAAAAACAAATATAGTTATTTTAAGGTTTGCTTCCTGCAAGATCTGACCTATGAGTTTGATTTCTGTAACAGTACTTTAATACAGACCAAGCAGGGAGTGATGCCATTAAAGAGATTCACTTAAGGAAAGCAGCAATAAAACAAAGGATTTACCTTCTGTGCAACTTTATCCCCATCTCTGCTGTATGTGAGTACTCACTGCAATCAAAAAGTAGACTGTTTTGTTATCCTGTACCGTGATCTGAAGGACACTGGTGTAAGGCCTTGTCACAGGTTCTGATTGTACAACAACCAGTCTCATGTCTTGTCCCACTGTATATTTCATGAGATGCTATTAAGCAAAGAAAATCACATGAAAAGCTTGTCATAGCATTTTGAAGCAAAACATTTCCCTGTGACTTCCAGCAGGGTTTGGCAGAAACCGCTGACTCAAGTGCTAACTGGTTGCAGAACAGCAAAAAGACATGCAAACTTCTGCTAAGGCATCATGATCCAGTCATATCACTCAACTTGCTGAGATCTTTTCTGATACTATGGAAGCAACTAGAAATATTAAAGGCAGAATGGGGCCGGCTCAAGCTGAGGACTGAAGATATCAATACAGTTCCTCTCTACAAAGAGTTTTGTGAGCAATATGGGTAAGTGACCTTGGATGCAAGAATATTCCAGGGTAACTGAAAAGATGAAAAATGAGAAAAGTCTCTGCCTTCTTCCTCTATTCTCCTTCTGTCCCTCTCTTTCACTTGCCTTTGTTTTTTATTATTTCTACCTTTATTTTTGCTTATAATTAACCTTGTATCTTCACTTTTCTCTAAAGGCTTGATGGCTACCTTTTGTTTCAGTACAGTTGTTCTTTTCTCCTCTTTCAATGTCTATTCAGACTGCTGATGATATTTCCCAAGTACATTCTTCTCAGCCGTGTGACCCGCCTCTGTATTTCAGGCTCCATAAACAATGCTAACTATAATACTTGCATAAATGGAAATTTTGGAAGCCTATTAGATGAATTGTAGCAGAATTCTTCCTAACCCTCCTACTTGGCTCAGCTTTGAGCAGTCAAGAATAGAAAATTGGAAGATTTCCATCAGAGAGGCCCTTCTGAATGCAGAAAACGGAACATGGTTTTTTAAAAAGCCTTGTCCCCGGAAACCACAAGAAAGGAAGTGAAAGAGCAAGATGACACAGTAAGAGTGAAATTCATGCATGAAGGCACTGGAAAACACCGTTGTCATGCAACGGAGCATGGAGGAAGAAATGCTCAGTGGGCCTGGCCCTATAAGGCCAAGGCATTTTAGACTGACAAATCTGAATCCATCACAGAAAATTCGTGTGTGTGTAAAGAGCTAGTATCAGATTTGTCCCCTTATGAATCCCAGTGTTACCTCCCGTGCATTACCACCAGATCGGAGCAGGCACAGTCCAGTGCTGGGGGCCCACGGTCTTTGCCTCTGACTAATTTATAACTTCTGTGGAGGGAGCAGCTCCGGGCAGAGCAGGCCTGGGTTGCAGGAGGGCTGAGAGTCAGGGGCGCAAGTTCTCTGCGCAGAGTGAGCAACAACTTGTGCTTCTACCAGGGGGCTGGGCAGCGGCAGGAGATCCCTGACCTCAGCGTCTCCCAGTCCCTCCACACCCAGAGCTTTCTTCTGGTGATGCCTGAGGTCTGGTTTAGCCCCCTCCTGCGAGGAGGGGCGAGCTCCCTGTCCCTGGCTTTGCTTACACGGACCTTTGAGCAGGAGGAGACTCTGTAGCGGCACCTGCAACGGCGCTCTCAGCTCTTTCATAGCAGGCTGTCTACCCAAAAAATCCCACTGCGTTTCCCTCCTCTGAGTCCCCACCCATTCCCTTCCACAGATTAGCTCCATACTTCTGTCTCTCAGCTCTGTGCTAACCTTTGTGTCATGCCATCAAGGGTTTAAAAAGCAGCATGAGTAAAACAATAAAATGTAATGAGTTATATATGCCTTGCTAATGGCTCCTCTGCTTCTAAGAGCAAAGTGCGGGTCTGCCTTGGCACTTAGCACTCAGAAGCACTTAGCAAACTTATGATCAGATGTGAAGGAGAGCAGGGGGGAGGAGGAGGAAGGATTTTCTTAGTCTATTTGAACTATGGTGATAGACGAATTCTTATCTGTGACCAGATTTCCCTGCTTTAGCTGGTTGACCCCTTGTTCCTTCCCCTTGGTTTTAGGCTTGTATTGTTAAACTTGGAGAAGTTAGTGAACGATGTAATAAGGCAGGATGGGTGGAAAAGAGATGTTCTGCCCTGCTTGTAGGTTGAGTGGGGCTAATGCAGTGAGCTAAGTCTTAATCATATTTTGTGTGGGTTAGGAACAGGGGAAAAAAAAGGAAAGTAAGGTCCAAGGTAAGTAAATGCAAACACACTGATTTTGAAAGAGAATATGTGAAAAACCCATGTCTTGGTGATTCTAGCACAGATATCCTGTACCCAGCCATGAAAGCCATAGTCAGACAAATGCGCACAAAGGAGGAGTTTGGAGAGCCCGTTACAAGCACTCAGCATGTACTCCTCCCCAGAGGAGCACCAGAAATCAAAATGAAAGTGTACCAGGTAAGGGGATGATTATTAGGGAGGCATTACGGAGGACAACACAGCATTGTGTTTGTCCACAATTTCTGATAAGTGCACCACAGTCCAGAGGGGGCCCTGGATGCTGTCGTGGGGGGAAGTTTGGCAGATGTGGGTGACCCCAGAGGCTCTGCCATGGCACCTCTGCTACGTGGAGCTGGGTGTGGGTCCTGGGACAGCCCAAGGCAACAGGGAACCTGCCTCAGTCTGGGGTATTCGTGACACAGCACTTGGCACACAGTCACTGCCAAATATTGACCTTGATACTGTAACCGAAACTACTGTATTTTAGAAAAGAATGGAAAGAAGAAAATTGCTTTGCTTTATTCTGCTGGTTTTTGATAGTTGGCAAGTTGCTTTATAAATGATTTCATACAAACTAAGTATTAAACCTGATTCTATCTTCAGAAGCATCTGGAAAGCCTAGAAATCCACATGATCCATATTGTGCAGAAGAAAATTAACCAGGAGATGACTCTAGTGACACCTGAAAGAGCCAGACAAGAGAGCAGTCTCCCCACTGGTAAGGAGAATTAAAATACCCGTCCTGGGAAATACAGGAGCCCCAGTTTTCAGTGGGAAAAGTAGCCTTGGCACATAAAGGCAGCAAAGTCCTGAGCGTGAACAGGAAAGCATGTTTGCTCTCAGCTCCTCACTTTCCCTTGAGCCTATTTGGAGGCCAAGCACCAGCTGAACTGCGGGGAAGGAGAGAGCCCACTGTGAAAAATTTTGGAAAGCCCATTGTGAGAAGTTGCAGAAATACTTCTAGCAGGAAGCCATGAAGACTTATGTAGCTAGATACCATACACCTTTCTGCATGGACCTGTTTATTCTGTTTGTTCAACAGATTCAGATTCCCTCAATCTAAGAGTTCACTTTTTCTTTATCAAGTGAAAGTTTAGCCATAATCATTGCAAAGACAATTGTGCAAACAAGTCTGAACACTAATTCTTCTGGAGTTTGCAGGCATTAATTCTCTACTCCACTGTGTTGGAGTGTTAATATTTTAGGCCTAGCAGTGCAATTTAAATGCCAGACTTTTTAGTATGCTAGGTGTTTATTTGGTACAATTACTGCATGGGGGGTATTCACAGGTACAAATAGTAAAATACAGAAAAAAGTGGAAATAAAAGCGAAGAAAAAAGTCCCCTACTGCCACTGATTGTGGTTGTAGGCAGCAATAATTAGTACACAGAAATCTTAAATTTCACACAAAACCCATCTTCTTTACTCAATACTTACAGTAAACTCCAATACATGATTGTGGGCCAGGCCATTATTGACAGAACTGGTCTGTAATGAAATTGCATTTTGGCTTAGGCACCAGAATGAATTTGGTATTGCTGCTCAACACAGGCTTTGCAATCTGTTTGCAATGACATTTACTTTTTGCTGCAAACATTTTAGGAAAGCTGAGAAACCCTAAGCCATAAAGCATACCCAGTGTCAAATCCCAGGGATTACTGAAGGATCAATAATTTGTGACAGTGATACCTACTGATGTGTGGTTTTATTCCGTGTTTTTTTGTTGTTGTTGTTGTTTTGTGTTTTTTGTTTTTCCCTCCTTCTGTTCCTGCAGAGCTCTGGAAACACAGGGTAATGCAAGAAAATTTCTCAGTTGTACGACCACAGATAGTTGAAACATTTGTTCAAAGGCTGATGGAAAACTACCAAGAGTCAGATACAGAGGTACATACTCTGCATTTCTATCCAAGCAAGAGCTAAATCATGTTTACAGCCTTATTTATTAAAGCTCTTGTCAGTCAGTGACCTGAAAGAGAAACACATTTTTTAAGCTTATGAGTTTAGATTCAGATAGTGTTGGTTTATAATGGCAGCATTGGCAGAAAACTTGCTTGCATGTTGCCCTGCTGCCTTCTGACAGGTTTATTTCAGCTCTCAGGACTGTAATAATGTGAAGATGAGTTAGGGCTGGAGGTTTATATGCCACTGCAATGCAGGATTACAGGACTTTATTCACGGATTCAGTAGTGGGAACTCTTCTCCCTGAGTCATTGCTAAACCAGGGGTCCAGCATAATGTTAGGAAGCAGTTTTAGGGTTTTTTTTCAGTGAAAGATAAAGCAAATATTTATGAAAATATGACCACTTCTGGATAAAAAACCACAAATCATGTTTTTTTGAGAGAAGGGATATTGGGTCCCAACTGCAATCCAGGTAGTTTCTGAGCTGGTGATTTAATTTCTCTACTGAAAATTCTCTTTTAGCTTCAGATGGAAAAAAATTACATTATATAGTTGCAGCTAGAACCAGTCAAAAAATGGACAAATCTGTTTTCTATTAGTTCAGTGAAATTGTAGCTCGGGCAAAAACATTTACATTGAATAATTTTATTTTTGCTTAATTTTGATATTGCACAAGCATTTTATTTACAATAAGGTGACCATGTTTCATTTTGATGTATGCTGTATATAGCGGCCCTTGTGAGTCAGGCCACCCTCAAGGTTTCTTATTTTGTTTTCCTAGGTTACTTTTAAAAAAAGCCATTTACAACAGTGTCTCACCATACTGGGCTGTGACATCATGGCCAGAGAGCGCAGCAACTTTGAGACCTACTCCATGTTTTATGAAAATATTCTCCAGCAGCAGCATCGTTTACTTTACCAAAAAGAACAAGTATGCTTGGAGTATTGATTCTACTCTTCAAGAACAGGGGAAGGTGGTTTCTCTGGGTGGGAGGCAGTTGCTAAGTAAAAAATAAAGTCAAGCTGTCAGCCTGGGAAGTTATTGCAGTGGAGCTGGACTACACAGGCATAGTCACGGTGCCTCTTTGTGCTTTGCTTCAGGAGCTGCACACAGTGGCAGAAGGTGGCAACCGAAGCGATACAGCTCTGCCGCAGGTTGGTGATGGAGGTCTGACAATTGGTAGCACCTAGTGGTCTTACCCGGGACAGAGTCCCACCGTGCAGACACATGGTGACAGCCTTCCAGAAGAAAGGTAGAGGGGCTCTGGGGCTGCTGTTTCTGTGGTCAATGTCAGAAGTCATGCCAGAAGGACTTGTAAAACAAAAATAACCTGAAGGCAAAGGTAATGGCCTGCTGCTCTGTGGTCCATGTTCACAGAGGATGATATATTGGTAACCTTCTAGCTCAAACTTCTATTGATGGTCTCTTCCTTCACAAGGCATTTTCCCAGAGCAATTCAATCCTGTGCATTGACTGAGATAGAAAATACAAGTGGGTCAGGCACATAGGCCCTACTGCAGTGCAGGTACCGGGTATGCTACATCATGGCTGCACAACCAACTCCTCTTAAGTTCTGAGTACTTGACTTTACAGCTTCAGCTGTGTTTTTTAGGATAGCTTCTATGTGTGGGTGGAATTTTTTAAAGAAGTAAACCCAGCCAATAAATCAGAAATGCTATCTTATGCAATCATGTGATAGCCATGTAATCTACACAAACTCCACTGCTAGAGGCATGTCAGCTTCTACAGACAACTACACTAGGGAGAAGACTGCTTGGGTTTCAGGGACGTTTGCTCAGCAGTGTTAGAATTGGATTTTATTCCTGGGCTCCTTTTCTCATCACTGACTACAAGATTTCAGTTCTTCTCTGAGCTTCTTACCAGTTTTTTGTCCCACCTTCTCAGGCTTTTTCCATTTTTTTGCCCCTCTATCCTTTTCTGTACAGTGTCTTGTCAGCAACCACCCTTCTTCCCTGATTTCACTGTCCTGTCCATATGTTTGGGAAGGCTGGAATGAGAGAGAAAATGAGAAACACATGTGAGGTTTCAGCTGGGTAGACAGATAGAGGAGGAGTCAGTAGGACTTTCCTGGAGCCTGTGGGCAGTGGAGTCTCTTCCCGCCTCCACTTTGCTGGCCCATCACCACCAAATCCCTGTCTCATCTGTCTTGTACTTGAAGGAAGTGCCCCAGCGTGGCCAGCTGCCTACTGTCTCCGGGCTCTGCTTCAGCCCCAGAAGAGAACTCCTGCTCCCAGTTCCACTTCTCACTAGCCTAAAGCAATTAACAGAGGCTACTGCAAGTCTGAAGTGAAGGCTCAGTTGCTCAGGGGAGGTGTTAGAAACCACCAAATGGTCAGCCAAAAAGGCATGGCAGATAGTTTAAAAACTAAGAAGTCTCTAAGGAACGTACATGAACCACGTGGGTTGTTTGTTTTGGTTTGGTTTGGTTTGGTTTGGTTTTTTTCTCCAACAAAATCTTAGTACTTGTCCAACTTTTTGCTGATTTTACAAGACAGCCAAGCCAGAGAAAAACTAGTGCTGCTCTGAGTAAAGATCACTGAATTTTTCAGCAGGGCTAAATTACATGTATTTTTCCCCAACATTCATTTTCAGAAGTAATGTTTGCTGTAAGACAAAAAAAAAAAATGGCACAGAAAATTTCAGTGAGAATCCAGTGAAGTTATTAGCATTTGCTACTTAGATCTGGCATGCGGAGGTGCCAGGCAACCTTGAAAGCAGACTGTACTGTTGGCTGCGCCTGCAGTCTGCAGTTGTGCCCACTTCTTATCTGAATAACATAATATGCTAAGAATGATTTTTATCTTTCCTCCATTGTGTTCATCTGGTTGCGAATGCTGTTCAGTGGTATGAAAATGACTGAATATTTATACCTAGCAATGACGTACCTATGTGAAATTTAAATTCTGTCATTTAAATATTTTTGAGTTCTGTCATGTACCTTCCTATTTGTGCTAACCTGTGTGCCTTTTCTGAGGGTATGCTAATTGTTAAATATCAACAAATAGAGCACATAATTGCTTTTATCATATATGAAATGGTCTGTATGTACAACCTTATCAGCAGACTGCATATTTGCTTTGATAAATGTATTACCTCACAGCTTACTGAATGAAGCCTGGTCACAATTCTTCTGACTTTCTCTCTGGAGACAAGGGGGATTATGCTATGGGAGGCCAGGGTCACAGACATAGCAGAGCCATGCACAGGATCTTCTCCTAAAATCAGATTCCCTAATCCTGCTCCCCAGTCTTTCCGCTGCTCTGTCCTCTGCACACTTTTCTTTCTGTCAGTTCTCATACTTATTAGCAAGGAGATCTTTCTTTCCTGATGGCCAGAAATGCACATTTTAAGATTATGTATGAAACTTATGCATTTGCCCCCTTCAAATATAATTTGTGAACTGCCACAATTCTTCCTACTGTTTCCAGGGAAGAAATATTTCTAAAACCAACAGAGATGTATAAAATAGATTATTCCATATCATCAATGGGCTATTTTCATCAGGCCACTCTGTTAGGCAGATAGTCTTCCTCTACTTTATTAGATATCATGGAACATATTCAAAGCTCTGGATCGTTTGCTCCTAGGCAATGGTGTTTGCTCATCCCTAGCTTTGCTCATTCACTTTCTCTGCTGTGATAGATTGTGGGGCTGTGCCATGGGATGATTATGGAGATAACTGCTCTCAGAGCCCAGCTCGCTGACTTAGAGGAAGAAAATCTTGGTCTCAAAGAGAAGACTAGAAAAGAAGTACGGGATGAATATGAATCGTTAGTGCGGAACCTCTTTGTGACTTGTGTCCATCTAAAAGTAGGTACAGAATAAGAGGGGGTACTTGATTGGTCTTTTTTGTGCTGCTGTATAATTTGCCAACAAGTATAGCACTCAAAGAAATAAATTGCTGCAGAGTTCCAGGTGGATGAATGGGTGAATCATTTATCTCCTGCTGCTAGAAGCATCCTGTAAAAATGTCTGGTAGAAAAATTGGGTACCTTTTCCAAGAGAGGAGGCGTATTCTCAATGGAACAGGTACCACATTAGAGAGAGTGATGGAAGATCTTTTTAGTTACAGTGGAGTGAACTTTTTGTATATAATATTTCAGTTTGTAATATTCTGCATTATTTTTCTTGGAAGTTTTATGTCCACTGCATAATTGTACTTCTCACTCTAACAATGCCTTTGTTTCCAAGTCGTCCACTGATTTCTTTGGGGTGACATATGTCATTATTTACAAAAATAAAATTCCCCATTCTAGCCTGTAAAAACTGACCTGACTGTGACCATGTCACATATAGAGCAACTACCTGCATCAGATCCCCAGGGTTTTGATTGATGGCCCACAAGCCCATCAATGTCTGTGGCCAGGGCAATAGTTACTTAAGGAATATTGTTATTTCTTTTGCAATCCTGAGAGTGAGTCCAGTTTTCACCAGAGAGCTTATTTTTTTCACCATGGTGCTGCTACTTTCATTAAATACATACATCCTGGGATTGCCAATAGGTTGCCTGCAAATGATACAATTGAAATTCCACTTCTTGTAGTGCCTGGATGCAAGAAGAATATTGCTCTGTCTTCCTGATACATTGATTCTAGGAAAATAATTATGAAGAAAGACCATCTGGTTGTAGTTGAGAGACTCATGAAATCTTCTGAATGTTGCTTTCCCATATGTGCACACCTCATCTCTTTTGAGTTCTGTTTGTAATTGCAGGGAAAGTTGGATGTCTATCGCCTTAGCATTGAGCAAGGAGTGTTTGAAATCATCGGTGAAGTGAGAAGAGAAGGCGTTGACAATATGATTGATCTGAAGAAAAAGCTTGGCTCCACTAAAAATAATGGTGACTTGAAAGAACATTTGTCTAAAGTAAGGAAATACATATGTGTGTCAGTAAACGAACACAAGGATAATATCCTGGTTAAACTTGATGAAGATGGCTTAAGTTATTGCATTCTATCTGGGACATCAGTTGGGTGAAGAGCATGGAGGCGGTCCATTTGCAGACTCTGTTAATGGCTACTCATTTGTCAGGCTCTCATGAATCAATCATCTTTGCCTGTGTGTTTATGCTTCAAGTGCAGAAATTTTGTGCCAAACCCAGCCTTTAGACCCTGAATAACTACATGTATTTGAACTGAATTTAGTTCTAAATTAGGACCTCTGCTTTCATTCTGTTCTGAGTGAAACTAGCACCATGCTTTCTACACAGGTGAACAATCAGAGAGATTGAACTTGGATCTGAAGAAGTATAAATGTGAACTCACATTCAATCATGTGTCAGCATTGTCATGTGTTGTCACTGTATATTTTTGGGTGTGGGAAAGAGAATGTGATGTTTCAGTGACCCTGATAAAAGTATTGATGGGAATTTTATCTTCTTGTCATGTAAGCTGGTCACATAAAACAATGGGGACAGAATCCTTTCTTCCTCTTGGGGTTACTTAGAATCAAAAATATATTCAGCTTTGTGTTTTGAAAAAGTGTCCCCAAAACCTATGTTCTGGGAGTTATAAAGCTACAATTTCCAAATCAGTCCTTTTAATAGTCAAACATATTCCTCCTCAGCAAAGTTCGGTTTGTACTGAAATTATGGTAGTCAGTCAGGGAATACAAATGAGATCAAACAGATAATGGTTACATACTTTTGTCTAAAGCAAATATGCCTGCAGATCTCTCAAGCAGAGGAGCTTGCAAAGCAGGATATAACTGTAATGCCAACAGAGTGAGAAGGGCTTTCAACACCCCCAATGAACCTGGGGGACAGGGACACCCAGAAATAAATGAGGAACCAGTGGAAATGGAAGAGGTCCATGTGTGAGAAGGCTGCAAGGAGACTAGCATGTCCCTGCTTGGAAAGGACAGTGTGCAGAGGCAAGGAACGAGGAGAGTGGGGAGCTCGTGTGTAGCCAGAGGGCTGTGGTTTGAGCAGCGTCATGGGAACTTGGTGGGCTGATGCACACTATGGTGATGGGTAGCTACAGGGTGTTTAAGAAGGAACAACAGGGAAGAAGAGGAGTGAAAACTGCACTCTGTGTAAGGAGTTCATTCCCTGCAGAGCTTGCATATAAATGTAGAGTCATACTACTGAACGCCTATGAGTCAAGGTCAGAGGAAGGAGGAACGTTAGTGATGATTAATGACTGTGGTGGGAAATCTGTCACACACTGCCCCGTCAAGAAAATAAATTGGATGGGCCTGCCTATAGAAGGCTAAGAAAAGTGTGTCTGATTTGAGGTTTGGTGTTCATGGAGGTTTTATCCATCTGGAAATCTACTGAAAGGAGAAGACAGAATTGGTGATAATATCCTAAAAGTAAATGCTAGAGGATCCAACCATGGTAAATCTCTACTTCTGCTGCTCACAAACAAGGAAAAACGGGTGGTGAGCGTCATCTGAGGCTGAAGTGACTATGAAATGATTTCAGGATCAGGAGAAAGGTTGCAAAATTATGCTGCAGAGCTAGGACTTGGGACTTGAGGAGAGTAGACTGTAATTTGCTAAGCAGAATCCCTGGGAAACTGCTAAGAGGGGAAAAGTGCCGAGGAAAGCTGGTTGATTTTTAAAGAAAACTTAAAGGGATTTCAAAATCAACTACCCTGTTATGCAAGACCAGGGAGTTTAGCAGAAATTTGGCCTTGCTTGCCTTAACAAGGAGCTTCTTAATGGCCTAAAATACAAAAAGAAAGATTGCAAGTAGTGAAAACATGGACAGGCAACAAAGGTAGAGTATCAGAGTTCAGACCCATAGTGATGAAATTAGGAAGGCTAAAGCCCGGCTGCAGAGAAAATTCATATGGGACACAAAAAGTAAGAAGTGTGTTGACACTGAATGGTAGAACTGTGCAGAGACACCTCTGCCAGAAGGGCCAGGACCTCCAGCAGTCCTCTGTAATAGTTTTCAGGAGGAAGTCTGCTCTTTTGAACAAAGAAAAAGAAAACCTGATGACTACACTTTTCATGATTCCACTAATTTTGTTCTTATTAAGGACATTTTAATTAGGGTGAACCAGGTTTCTGAATACATGAACCAGAATCCCCATTTGGCATAATAGTGTTTATCACCATTAACAGTGCTTCAGTTTGGAGGGGTTTACCTGCTTGCGGTTTTGGATTTTTTTTTTCCATTTTTTTCCCAGTTTCTGGGCAAGATTCACATTTCCTGTTTCCCTGGAGACACAGTAATAGAAATTTATTGCCAAAGGCTGCACTGTTTCAAGCTGCAAAGTTTGAGCATTTGAAAACTAAAATGAAATACAAATAGTTGCATGCTTTTACAATTCTATTTATGTCCAAACCACAAATTTATTCCTTGGAGAAAGTAGTATTTGTGGGTCTACTCTTACCAACATCTTCTTTAGCAGGAACAGCTGCAGCTCTTGCGGGATGAAAATATCAGGCTAAGCAAGCTGGTGTGTAAGCTAAAGGCTCTGAACTGCTGGAAGGAAACCGCTCAGAAGGCACAGCTCTCTGCAAAGCTTAGAGATGCTGAGAAGGTGATTTTTCCCTATCATTTAATCTGTTATTAGTGTCTCATTTTCTGCAAAACTAATGGTCAGATTGGACAAGCTCACTGTTATTCAGTGAGCCTATAGGAGCTCATGGTAGCTGCAGATTTTAGGTAAAAATTATAAACTTTCCCCCCCTGTATATTATGGGTATAATGATGGTCTTCACATAAAGAGCATGAAACAAATCCCTGATGTTTGCTTGAAGTGAATAGTTCATAGTATTCTTACTTCTGTTGTTGAATCAGAAGACTAATTATAGCATTGTATCAAAATCAACTGTTTCACAACTGACCAAAATTTATGAAAAGGTACACAGGCAGACCTGAAGTGCAAATGAACTAGATTGTTGGTTTGGGAGGTGGCTGAGGTTTTTGTTGTGCTTTTTTTTTGCCTTTTTTTTTTTTTTTTTTTTAATTGGCATCTGCTTAAACAAAGCAGAACACAGCATGCGGTTTATAAATTTAATTACAGAAATACAAGATGAAGCGCAAAAATGACTAAATTAAACCAAAGTGAAGATGGATGGAAAGAAAAGTGCCTCCCTGCTTTAAATGAGGCTGATTAGAATGGAACAAATAGGTTATTGATTGTTACATAGGTTAATTAGCTGCACATGTCAAGCAAAGGAAAGGCTGAATGGATCATATTTGTTAACTCAAAAAGAGTGAAAACAAAATTATTTTTGTGTGCTTGTTAATTTTAAACCCAAATAAAACTGGATGTGCCTACGTTTAGTTCAGTTATATCAGGGAGATGCTAAATCAGAATATTTTATTAAACAGATCAGTCAAAGATGGATCAAATTATTGTCAAATTTGTGGATTTAAATAAGAAATAAGAGCTATCTTCACAGGATTTAAAAGTAAAGTCTGAAACTGAGAAAAATGGGAAAATTTGTCTTTTTTAAAATTAGAAACGAAAATTATTGCTAAGACAGAGCTTTCTTGTGTCTGACTTTGGAATGACCCTGAAGATCTAAGAACTTATATTTCACTGTCCTTTACTCCAAGTGCAGAGGATCCTGGACCTTGCTTTTTCCAGTTTAAATGGCTGGGAAAGGAGAGAGGGCTGCTAAATCTGTGCCTGACATAGTAACATGTATATACGTACACATTTATGTTTGTGTTTAAAATGAACAAAAAGACCCTGCCCAGAAGGAAAACGAGCTTAATCACACACATTTTTACTTTAGAGATAATGAAGGAATAAATAGATGGACAGGTCTTTCTAATGCATAAGAAGGACCAAGTTCTGCACTGCTCTATACTTGATTGCACACAAGAACATGAATTGTTGACATGTGAATATTATTAAAGATGTGCAGTTGTACCCATACAAAAAATTAGCTTATGTTTTCCCCTTTAGAAGACCCCTCTTGTCCATCCTGTTCCCCACTTTGCCTTAAAAAAAGGTCTAGCCTTTATTAGAAAATAGGAACAATTAAATCTCACTTTACTGAAAATCTCTGAGAGATTTACCTTTCAAGAAACCCACTGCTATACAAAAGAGAAAATAATTGCTCTCATCATTGTTTCTGTTATGGTCTTTCTGTTCACAGGAAGCTCTTCAAAACAAAAAAGAGTGTCTGAATGCTAAGATGATGGCAGAACAAGAGGTGGCTTTGTGACAGGGGCAGCTCCTGTCTGTAAGGAAAGCTCTTGCAAAATCTCAAGCAGACAGTGACAAGCTAAAGAAACAGCTACATGAACAGGTATGTGAATTCAACAGGTCCTGAGTCATCTGTGCAACAAGCTGAATTCTCCTCTCCAACTCACTTGCTTTAATGAGGATTTTGCCTATTGTTATTCTAGGAGACAAATGGATTAAAAACTCACTAACTGCATAATACAGTTACTGAAGCTGGATATGTATTCTGAGTGTCTTCACCATTGGAGGTAGAGAGAACTAGAGAAAAAACTGTAGCGTCTTCAATAAAGTTTGAATCATGTACCAAAATGACAGCTACAGGTACTACATGTATGTATGCCATCAACAGTGCTGGATGTATGTTTTAGTAGAGGAAAAGACTCTAATTAATATTTTATTCCACAGATTAAAAAAAAAAAAATACACGTCTTGAGGTTATTATTCTTCCAGCCAATCATTAAATTTCAAGGAAATATTCAGGCGTGTTGTCATTATATCCAGAACAAATTAATTACAATTTTTTTTTTCATCTGAACACCTTCATGGATATATCACTGCCACAGCAAGCTGCCTTTCACTTCTACACATGGCTACACAGGCTGAAATGGCCCACTCCTCAAAGTCAAGCACACCCTTCATTTGCAATATACTTAATGCCAAGCAACATTACTGTATGGAAAATAAGTCTTGTCAAACCAACCTCGTTTCATTCTGTTGATAAGATTACGAGTTGGATAGATAAACATAATGTTAGAGATGTAATACATATTTGGAAGGGCCTTGTAATGCCTGGGTTAGTAGCACACGTTTGCATTTTAAATTTTAGTATTACACAATATCAATAAAATGCTAAATGGATTGAGTGCTTGATTTTTTGACATACAAAAATGTGTTATTTTCATTAAATGAAGACGGTTTCTGATGGATTTCTACAGGAGTGGGTAGCAGAACTATAGTGTATTCAACATTTCTGTCAGTGGCTTGGAAATAAATGTAAAATTATAGATTATAAAATTTACCAATGACATATTTGGGGAGGAATGTTAGTGAATTTGATAAGGCACATTTAGTGAATAACGATATGGTCAGAGCAGGAATACGGAATCATACAAATAGCTCGGTAGCTTGGTTATCCATCTGAGAAATATTTCAGTGCCTGAGAAGATGAAGCATGAGAAGAAAGCAGGACTTGTACGGAACAGGGTGACTGCATGCCTGGACAGGACAGGAATCGTAACAGAGAGATGACTGGCCATGTAGTGTGGTACTGGAAAGGATGGATGCTGCAATCTTTTCATTTATAAAAAGGAGAATAATGTAGATATATTAAAAATGAGTTTGTAGCTCTATGTAAAACACAATGAAACACTGACACTGGTTCCAGAGTGTACTACTTATAAAAGATGAAAAAACTGAGAGTGAAGAGAAGTTACAAAAATTGAGGGCTGCAGGAAATGCTTGCTAGCAGAGGGCTCTTAAAAGGCTCAATCTGTTTATCCTGTCTGAAAGAAGAGTGACTTGATTACAGTCTTACAGATATTTTTATTTGGAGAATAGCAGATACTAAGGGGTTCTTAGGGAAAGGTGTAACAAGAGGTGGTGACTAGAAGTTGAGGCTAGACAAGCTGAAAATGGGAAATTAGAAACAATGTTTTCAAAATTTTATTAAATGGGGAAATGTCAATATGTCTAACTGAGTATCTTCAAGTCAAGACCAGATGCCTTTCTGGGAAACATGGTTTAGGCAAAGCAACTTGCTTATTCCAGTGCAAGGGTAATAAAGGTAAATATGATATTAAAAAGCCACATCTGATGGTTCGATTGCTCCATTCTCAGTTTACTGGTCTATGAAACTCCAACTTTAGTAAGGCGTAGGGAGCTTTCCAAGGAAAAATCTTTGGGCTGTGACTGCTTTTAGCTCCACCAGAGTGGAGTTGTCTTTGGCTAACAAAATTGGTTTTCTTCACTGACAAGCTGTCTATTTACTTCCAAAAGATCCACTGCATCTACCATCTTTCTAGCAGATGCTTTTGCTGTTGTCAGTGGCTTTGTTCTTTGGTTTCTGATATCAGCTTCTCGTTCTTTCTCTTCCTAATTTCTTTCCTTGGCACAGATTGCGATGATGGTCTTTACAAATAGCAGACACCATTCCACAACCCCAGGTTTGACTTAATATGGGTGGCTTGTAATGCCATTGCATTCAATTGTGGTATAGATTTAAAATGTAGCCATAGTTATGGCTGTCTCTACAAACCGTATATAAACAGCAATATCTGAGAAAGCTGTGCTCATTTCCGACCCCCTCCTTGTTTATACATTGTTTTAAAAACAAGTTCCACATGCAGACCAGAGGCTGGTTGCAGAAAGCAAATTACAGCTGACTGAGGAAATTGGAAGCAACTGCCTTCTTGTTTATTTGCAATTGAATGAGTTCTACACATGAATGTTGTTCTGAGACTTCTCTCTCTAACAAGCAATGATGTAAATACAGCATTTTGTTTCCACTCCCCCTTACTATTCCTTTGTTGTTCCTCGCTGTTCCTATAACCCAGATTTTATTTTGGGTTTAGGTCTGACTCTGTTCATTTCATAAGATCATAGGATAATTCAGATTTGTCTACCAACATTTAATTATCTTCAGTACCATGCCATGTGGGATTGGGTCTTTCCTCATTCAGCTCAGTCAGGCATGATGTCTGAGGACTGGTCATCAGGGAAATCTAAAAAGGTGTGTGTGGGAGCTGGGGCAAAGTAATCCAAGCCTGATGCTTTCCTGATTGCATGTTGTAGAAACAAATGCTGTTGGAAGTAGTACAGAGGAAGGCACAAGAAACCAAAAAGAGACAAGTACTCAGTGTGATGAAAGCTGAAAATGTAGGGAAGATGCTTGAAAAGATGGTAGAAAAAGAGCAGAGCGAGAAATGCCTAACCGAGGAAGCTGAAGAGTCTTCTGAAACACACCATCTTCAACAGAAAAGGGTCAAAAAAGAAATGCAGCAGGTAAACTCATAATACAGATTTGAAAACTAAAAACAGTAGTGTATCCGGAGAGACATCTCAAGTTTTAACACTGTCTGACCACATCTGAGTGTATCCCTTCAAGTGTTTGAAATTCGGGGTTTCACTGTGGCCCTCCAAGTGCTCTGGATGAGGGTCTTGTAGCATGAGCCTTGGCGCTGGGCTGGGCCCTGCCTGCTGGGGGCCTAGGGTCACGTCCCACCTATTGGTGGGACCTTGTGTTTCTGACGCTCCTCAGGGCCTCCTTGTTGAGCCCGGTTCACTATCTTTGCTCTACAAAGTGAGTATTAGTCTCTTTATTTTAGAGGTAAACTGCCTAAGTTTGTGTAAGGCGCTGGGTGCGGTGGGAATGGGGGGTGTGGTGCTAGACAGAACACGCTTGCAGCCCTGGGGGGGTCGGGGGGCACAGCAGCTGGAGCAGCCAGTGGCTGGGCTCCCTGGCTCCAGAGGCTTTGGCCCCCTGCGCATCCCCTGCTGGGGCGCCCCCCGGCAGTGTGCCCCTGGCCTCCGCTGCAACACCCGCCCTTCTCACCCGCTCAACGCCGAGCTTTGGAGCCTCGCTCGGGCTCTCCTCCCTGCAGGGCCATGTCCATGGGGTGCATTGGTGCCTGCTGCTTTTCTGGCTCTCTCCATGACTTTTCCCTGGCAGGGCTTTGACACCAGTGCCGTAGAGCCGACAAACTGCTGTCCTTTTGCTTTTTATCTACTCTGCATTTGACATAAACCCTCTGCCCTCACCTCTGTTTAACATACATTACACCACTGTTTCCCAAATTCTGGGCTACCAAATGAACGTACTGGGAAGGGAACTGCTTTAATCCCATCTGGTCACAGAAATGGCATTAGTTTTCACTAAACTGATGCCACTGGTCTGATGTATCGAGTTTAAATCTGTTACTGCATTGCTAATAATTGACTTAGTGTAACTGAGGAACCAGATCCACTTCTAAGATTATCTCCCTGTAAAAGGGGCTATAGAGTTTTAACTACTTCAATTTAAAAACTGATCTGGCCAAGTAAATACAATCTCTGTGTATAGCACAGCTGGTAGAGTGGGCTCTTGGCTGTGAAATGTGCGTAGCGTGCAGAACAAAATATTGTTTGGCAACCGCTTGATTAGACTTTAACTAGATGAATCCATCTACTGACAACTTTGCTGCCACTGAAGTCTCGTTGCCCTTGTTTTCTTGGTCTAGAGAGAAAAAAAAAAACCTTTGTAAATGTATCTGAATGCCTCTCCTGTAAACCAAGCAAAGTATATTCTGTATTCAATCTTCTAAAGCATCAAGGCGAAAGCATGGGCTTTTTGTTTTCCTGAGTCAGGATGACAAATGCCATTCTGCTGGGAATAATTTCGCAGGCTGCTGGCATGTTTTCTAACCAAAATCGCAGGAGAGACTTTTACACAGCCAAAGCAGTTGGTGCAGACACAAGACCACTGATTTCACTGGTGTCCGTCTTTAATGGGGCTTTGAATTATTTTGCTGTGTTTACAAAATAACCCTTCAAGAGATCAGAGAGTCAACAGATGGATCAGCACTTGAGTAGAGCAGAAAGGGAAATGGTAACTGCAGTGCACAGGCTTCTATTGCCACACAACAGTCCCAGCTGCAGCTAGTACCTACGTGGTCATTAACACTAACAAACTCTAAACTTAGTTACAGAGTCTGTGGGAAAGATGAGGGAAGAGCTGCTGTTTTTTCCACGTACCTCTGCCCTGAAAACGGAGGTAGGGTCTTGTCTAATTAGGGTTACATGCAGAGAACAGTGAGAAAAGGCTTCTCTATTGTTTGTATCTTCCTCCAACGATGCCTGAAATGCAGATTCCTATTAAACAATAATAAGAATGCACTTTTTGTGCTGTATTTTGCCTTCAGAGGGATTATGGATATGTTTAGCAAAGCTGTAATTATGGATTATTTCAACCAGCGAGTAGTGATGGCCTCTCATTCACAAGAGCACAGAGGGCAACATCTTTTCCTTTAAATCTCTAGGCCCCTGCTTTGAGGCAGAGCTGTCAGATGATGAATTTTTGTTGCTGCTATTAATCCTTTTACCACTTTTTAGATCAGAAGACAGTTAACCCAAAAGTGCAGTTTAAAATGGGAGGCCTTCCAGCAGGTTGATGGACTGCAGTTTCAAGTTTATGACCTGGAAGCTGCAGTTTCCCGGAGGAACGTGACTGCAGGTAAAGACAGGTTGTGTGTTGTAACCCGCTTTCTTGGGGAAGTCAGTCTTGCGTGCTATGTAGCCTTGTCTCTCAATCCCTCCTTAACCTTTGAAGCAATAGGCAACTTAAGCCAAATATGAAAGGGGAGAAGACCTTCTTTGTAATGAAAGCATCTAGGTAAAGGAGAAAGAGCTAAAATAATCTTGAGGAAAAGTCAGACAACTCAAAAGCCGTATGTCTTCTCATACCGCAGCTGCTCAAGCAGCACAAGAAACACTGGCTCCCAAGTTAATAACTTTAATCCATAACTTGTGTTATCTCCTGCTTTGTAGGGATATCATGGGAAATATGAGGGGAGCTGCATTTAGGGGAGGAGGCAAGTAGGAAACAAAGGATCCCAAGTGGTAGGAAATCAGTCTTTATTATGGCTCTGGTCTTGGAACAGCTTATTTGCAAATCGTGTAGGGCAGCCAAACAAGACTGTACCCTTGTAATTCAATTAGAT